CGACCGATGACGTTATTGAATTGATTGTGTCACGTGAGTGACATGCTGTTATGATTCGCTGTTAAAAGCGGCCAGTTTCATTCATCTTACTTTGCAACCACTTTGCCTTTTCATAGAAGGCCTGGTTGCTAGGCGTAGACGTGGTGTGCTATGATGCGATGAAACGCACCACTTCGGTTGGCCGCAGGAAGGTCTCCTAACTCCCACATGCAGTCCACGTGGTCACATCGATTTCATGCCTCCCGCAGAGGAACCTGTGCTACTGTACTGCCACAGAAGAACGAAAGACAAGAGCTGAATTTCTTCAACAGCTCTACAAAGCATTGGCATGATTGAATAATATTTCTTGCTATTGTTCAACAGGAAGCTCGAGAGGCCCGTCAACAAAACCAGTGCGTACGTAGGCGTGACTGTGAAGTAGATATCTGTGGCTGTCTTGGGTTGGAAGAACCGCTTGCAGCGACAGCCTCGCAGGTGAACTGGAGGGTGAGAATTTCAACTAGCTGTTAATCTCGGTCGATACATTTGTTGGCAAGGCAGTGTTGTCAAAGGGAATTGAGGAAGCCAAGTATTGGGAAAGTCCTCAAACCACTACCTATCTTGATGAAATCTCCAACCTACTTTCTCACTAGACCTTCCTTTAAAGCTAGGTTATATATTTGTAATGTTAACTGAGAAACAAGAAACGGAAAGCCGCCCTGGCATAAAATATTTTCATTGTTATTTACTGAGTGCCAGTTACCAGATGCATACTGCAGCAGTTATTGGGAGGCTGGAACGGTGGATGGGTGTTCTAGGCTGGAAGCCAAAGAAACTGTCTTCTCGTAACCAACCACAATGCACTTTGCCCTCAATTCAACAAGTACCACTTGTGGGCAAATGAAGTTGAGTAGTGTCTACAGAAGCCACAATAGCGCAGGATCAACTCTCATTACTACTTCGCATTTATATGGTCCGTAATAGTGCTGTATTGTCTTGAAAGAGAGGCTTTGAAGCATCAACATGATGTGTAGGAATTTTTGAATTACAAAGTAGATAATGGATGCATCCGTTGGTGCTTTGAGTGAAAAATATTGTTCTGGTTAGTAAGATTTATGCAATGGAAGACTTGAGATGAGACCAAAGCATAAATAAGTTTGAAAAAACTATTATAGAAGGTGCATTTACCACAGTAGTAATTTTATTTCATTGAATTCCAATTAATTTAGCAACTGAGACTAAAAGTAGGTGAAATTACTGAGATATGAGAGTTTACAGCGAGAGAGAAAAATCTAGGCATTCTAGAAGTGGAAGGACATATTTCTTGAATGAATAGAAGGACACAAAAAGCACCATAGCTAATTACAGACACACAATACAAAATGAAGTGATCTCATTGTCAAGTAGGAGTGCTGAAGATGCGCTGGGAAGTGGTGATCGACTTGCCGTTGGTGGTTATCTACACCACGACCAAACTCAAGGAGTGTGGTACAGTGATGGGTCTCGATAAAGCTGATCCACCCATTAGACTGATAAAGAATCAGTTGAGCCCTCTTCCAAAAGTGCACAAGATAGGTGAGCAAGGAAACTGTCCATAAGCGCTAACTTGGATATTGTGCTAGCATTAGATTGCCTACATAATAGTTGCCTCCTTCAATGTGGCTAATGTGCTCGCAAACTAATGTACGCACTATCCGACATCACTTTTTCTGTTTGTTCAAACAGTTCATATTCGACTTCTCATCAGACCCTGTGAGTGTGTAATTAGTAGTATTAACCGAACTCCTTAATAAAATAAACAAATGTATTGAATGAGTCGGTGTGTGGGAAGTTTAGTCCATTACTGTCTAAGGCATTTCATAATTAATCAAGATTATAGGATCGAGGATGATGACAATAGGCACTTTCTTAAGCTGCTTCAGCGAAAAGGAGAGATGGGCTTGGGAGCATTTAGATATGTTCCAAGTGAAAAATATTTTGATACACACTACACGACAAACACCCCATCAGAGTACTTGCAGAAACCATAAATAATGCCTCACTTGCGATAAATTCCTCTACACTTCACTTCGTCGAAATGCACAATGATGAATGTGCCATAAAATGGAAGGAACCGGGTTGAGTAAATAGGTCTGCATCTTGAAATTGGATTACACAGACTACCTGATGGCACTTTTACTGAAAATAATTGGTAGAGGAGTAGTTGCACAGAATATACACCAAAAAAATTTAGCAGAAAGCTTCCTAAAAAGGTTATTTATAAGAGCTTTGGTAAGGTTTTTAGCATTCAAGTCTGCAAAACAAAAAGTCGTGCTCAACTGCCTCCATTAGCTTGTTCTAGTCATCCTAGAAATGCAGTTGTGTTACACGAACCTGTGGCTGCAACTTCTGGAGTAAACTGGAAACTAGTGAAAAGAACCCCCTCGTAGGGCCAAAATACTTCCATTTCTAGCACATACCTGCTTCTCCCTATGTGAGTTTGGATACGTAGGAATAGAGTTGTGTCCACCATTAATCACTCGACTGCTCGGGATAGAAACCCGAAAACAATGCAACCCATTGACGTCAATCTGATTGCAGCTTGACGCCATGATCGTATCGCTCGACTATTTTATGGGTGTATCAAAAAGCACATCTAGTTTAGAAAACCAACAAAGGGACGAGAGGACGATGAGGAAAAAGAGAAGGAGAAGGAAACGGGTATTGTAGGTAACGTTCCATTTACGTGTAGATCCACACAGATCATATAGAGAAGAATCAGTTCGTCCATTGCCCAACTCTGTCCAATATTACTAAAGTGGTCTGGGTGACAAGGAGGCGTGATGAAGGTAGATTTGGAAGGAGGGGGTGGTCGGTTTGGCTTTGGAGGCTGTCCACATGGGATGAAGCTCAGAGGATGCGGAGTGATAGACTGCTGTGATGGGATGACCGAGATAGGTAAATTTGGTATTCGGTGACAGACTTGCACGCACTGAATTGGTCAGCATTGATACATCCTGTCTGCACAAGTGTGATAGCCCATTTGGCTACCAATGTCAATTTTGGTTTTTCTTAAGAGAATTCCTATACTACTTTGTTCGAGCGTATGCTGTAAGCATGAAGTAAAGCACTTTGTTATCTTGGAGCTGTGATAAAAAATGCAGTCATCAGAAAGCAGCCTAGTCTATAGAATGCACAGAAGGAGTCTATTCCACACCAATAAGCTGTGGCAAAAGGTAAGATGAGTGTGGCGAACGATAAGCATTCTTCCCATGACAAATTCATCTCTCTATTTTCTACCTCGGTATCTTTATCTGGCCTGTTCATCGGAGCTGAACTGCTTAAGCTAGAGTGCGTTCAGTATAATTTTCCATTGTGACCTTCTTCAGGCTCAGAATTATTCGTTCCTCCGTGTAAGTTTTGCCTCCTCCGAGATGGGCTCATCCACAATCACCACTCCATATCTCACCCAATACACTGACCATTTCACTATATGTTCAATTTCTTATTTGCATCGTTGCCAAATGCATTAGCAATGCGTCAAACTTTCAAAGCCATATTTTATTCAAGATGAGGTCTTTACTTTTAACATATTCGATTTGCCTTCCTGTCAGACAAAGCTAAAAAGCGCCTTGTAATTGAGAGTTGTGGCAGTGGATATTCAGAGTCGTAGCTGGGACAATGCCAAGGCAAATTAATGTCGAATGTCACGATGGTGCTTACAATTAAACGTGACAAACAAACAAAGGAATTTGACACCACATATGGTGATATAATAAATGGCTTAAGCTCAGATGGTCAATTTCAAAGTTACCGGACCATCAAACTCAGTTTATTTAATCATTTGGCGAAAATCTGATGAATTGTATTGTACTGGCATAATGACTAGTTTTGAAGAACGAATGGGATGGTGTACTTGCTGATGGGACCGGAGACGGTCTCACAAATATTGGAATATTGAAAAAATGTCTGGTTCCGCCATAGTCCACTACCATCACCACAGCCATTAAGGCAGGTTTAATTCGACTCAGAAGTTTGCAAAATGCATCGCTGGTTGAGGCATATTTGTTTTAAAAAGCACATTGCATGCATAATTTGTGCTTGCCATCGAATATTGTCAAGAATTATTTCCTAAAACACTTCATTCCCTGCAGTTTGTATTCATATACCCATTTCC